AATAAAATAAATATCTGCTTATCCCAGAAAAAAACAGGGCTGCTAATAAGAATGTATTTAAGGCCTCTCATTCATAAGGTCAACTTAAGTCAAAGCCAACTTGATGGCAACAACATAAACGACTGTGAGAGCCGTTCAGCAGTGGAACTCTGCCCCGGAGTGTGGTGGAGGCTCCTTCTTTGGAAGCTTTTAAACAGAGGCTGGATGGCCATCTGTCAGGGGTGATTTGAATGCAATATTCCTGCTTCTTGGCAGGGGGTTGGACTGGATGGCCCATGAGGTCTCTTCCAACTCTTTGATTCTATAATTCTCAAATTTTTTAACCCTAGTAATTCATTAAATCTTCAGATACGTGTATACGACAAAATATTTTATTTCCTAAATTAATATTGTTAAAATATTATGTTCAACTCCTTTTAATTTAAGATTCTTGTCTTTTAATTGAATCCTTTCTTTATAGGCTACAGAGATACAGGAAAGGCACAATTTTTCATCATTTTTGTATTTTGCATTTATCAATGAAATGGAAATTGCTGTAAGAATGGGTTCCCCCTTCTGCAGTCCTTTATAAACCTCCCTAAACCAGTTCCAAAGAGCACGGACACTCACTGGGGAATACGAGAATGAAGAATATAAGGAAATCCTGCTGCACGTGTGCAAAACTCCATCATGTGAAGTTGGATAGAATTCAGAATGCTCACTTCAAAATGTTATTCTCAAAGATGCTTCACATTTGCCCCACTAATTAATATTTATAAATCAGTATTAAATACATTACAAAATTAGATTCCCTGCCTTTACTATTCTTAGAATGCTGTATGCAATTGTATTAACTAAAAGTAAACAAGAATATACAAATACATTTGCCTAAAATAATTTCCAGTCTGTTTTATTTCCAAATAAAGTACACAAAGTATGAACATTCAACATATCAACATTTCCAACAGTTACAATCTATTTCCATTCACAGTTTTAGTGCAAAGCACTAAAAGGCCAAACTTACCCATAATTTTTTTCTTACTTATGCTAAACATTTTAGATATCTGTCATACAGAAAGTGTAAATTGACATAAAGTATTTCCTTAGCAAGAGAGTCAACCAATATATATTTTAATGGCATAATGTTCATTTTTTCATTGAGACAATTTGACACAAATCACTAAATGTTCTAAAAAATTATAATGCAGAGATGCCTGCCAAAATTCATAATGGTAGGTACTACAGAATTAATTAAAATAGACAAAAACAAATAGGCCTTTTATAAACTTTACAATGAAAGTCAAGTGCTACCTACAGTGGTCATTCAACATCTTGTGGGCAAAAAACCTGAAAAACTTACACTATCTTACACTATCTTACACTATCTTATTTTAACAATAGTTAAGGTACTATAACAAATAGTTGTATATGGCTTTTCTACAAAAACTACTTTCTTACTAATATTAGTGTACTATATTTTAAAAATAACTATTTTTTTTAAAAAACTGGAACTATTAAAGTGCTTGTGAATATATATTCTTAAGAATTAAAATAGGGGAATGTGGGTCACTTGTAAACTTCCATATGAAAGAGTGTCCAATAGACTAACCATACAAATTATTATGGACCTTTGCAAGAACATCAGTTCAAGTTGAATACGACCCCACCAAAAATATTAGTCAACTATAAACAGACATTAGAGCAAAATCTAGAATTATTAGAATTCAAATACAAATCATTCAAATTATACTAAGTAACTGTCTGCTCATATACATTCATTTATAAAAATATATGTTTAAAGTACATCACAAAGCAAGCATTTGCTTAGTAGTATATCACAAAATCCTTGTTCAACAAAATCAGGTTTAAGTATGGAACGGATGCTCCAAATGTACATTTTCTTTAAAAATAGTTCTTCTAAAAGTGTTTGGAAAAATTCCCTTTTCAAACATTTATTTTCTACTACTACTATTGAATTACATGAATTAAGACAGCTGGCCATCAGTTATAAGTTTTGTTTTCAATGCAGTTTAACTTCCATTGAAAAATTTGGACAAGGTTTATGACCAGTCAATACATTTAGTAAGAAAATAGCTTATAAAAATATTTTCTCTCTTTATTACGAAAGACATTAGCAGTCATTACATCAATTTTTCCCACATATCATTTGATGTTAAAAAAAAGATATTTATACAAATATTCAGTTAATCTAAAAGATGGGATAAAAGTTCAAGGATCTAAAGACAGGACGGCTTTATCGCTTCAATAAACTGATAGTGGTTTTGGTATTAAGGGGTCTAAACCAATTGGATGTTACTTATAAAAGCTCTTGAGGCAGTGGAAGTTTTCATATATAGATTTATAGGAATCCTTCCCCCTTCTGCCAATTTTCACACTGTTCTGAAGCGTGAGGGCACTGTGACAAGAAGGAAAACTGCCAAAAAAAAGTCTTCTACATTTGGCTGATTGAGGCAAGCAATGGTCAAATAGTCTTCCGCCAGCAGATGAATACCGGTTAGATACAACCTAAAAACTCATCTCTAATCTTAAAACCACACAAGAATCTCTTAGCAACCTGAGGGTAGCTTCCAAATAGCTGGAGGGTTCTCTATATACTAATCTTTTTACATTAAAACCAGAAAACAAATGATTTAAAGCTGGAAAGTCTGTTTCAGGCAATGGAGACTTTGGAACTGAAGTATCAACACAGTCATGCTCTGGAGATTAGAAATCTTTCCTATAATTTCAAATGCATTTTTTTTCCGTTACTAGCTACACTGAAATATATTTAAGTTTAACGTTAGACTTGGTCTACACCTTTGCAAAACATCCACTACATAAAATGGATCTGCAGAATAGGTTTTCCTTCCTATCCTTTTTAAACAGGGCATTTTGGGGGGAAACAGTCTCAAAAAATTTAGATAAAAAGGTCTAACATAAAACAAATATCCTTAATCAGAAAATATATGGATTTTTTAAAGGGCTGTATCAAAGAAGAGAGAACGGGCATTTGTAATGCAAATGTTAACTCTATAATTAACTTATATAACCTACATTTAAAATATTCACTATAGTAGTACTAGTATTTTGTGAAAACTCTATGCCAAAAATGTTTACTAACAAACTAAAACCACAGTTCAGCAACCCAGCACTTACAGGCCACCTTCAGCTCATCAAGACTTTCTCTGCCTGGTCGGTAACGATGAAGTGCAATGTTAATTTTAAACTCATTTGGAACTATGGTATCTAACTCTAAACAGTTTGCCAAAATAACTCACTATGTAATACTAAATGTTGTAGAAAAACTTAAACTATTCTAGGCTTGGTATTTTTTTTAAAAAAGACAAATTCAAAAGTCCACGGGTGAAAAACAGGCTAAAAAGGAATAAATGTACTACAGTTTTCTCTTCTATAACATCAGGGCAATGAAGAAAAAAGTATTTCAGTATTTGACAAACAAAAACCAGTAAATATATGGTATTTTTTAAAAGGGCTGTATCAAAAAAGAGAGAACGGGCATTTCTAATGCAAATGTTAACTGTATAATTAACTTATATAACCTACATTTAAAATATTCACTATAGTAGTACTAGTATTTTGTGAAAACTCTATGCCAAAAATGTTTACTAACAAACTAAAACCACAGTTCAGCAACCCAGCACTTGCAGGCCATCTTCAGCTCATCAAGACTTTCTCTGCCTGGTCGGTACCGATGAAGTACCATTTGGAACTATGGTATCTAACTCTAAACAGTTTGCCAAAATAACTCACTATGTAATACTAAATGTTGTAGAACAACTCAAACTATTCTAGGGCTTGGTATTTTTTTTAAAGACAAATTAAAAAGTCCACGGGGGAAAAACAGGCTAAAAAGGAATAAATGCACTACAGTTTTCTCTTCTATAACATCAGGGCAATGAAGAAAAGAGTATTTCAGTATTTGACAAACAAAAACCCTTAATCAGAAAATATATGGATTTTTTTTTAAACGGGCTGTATCAAAGAACAGAGAATGGGCATTTGTAATGCAAATATGTTTATAATTAACTTATAAAACCTACATTTAAAATATTCACTATAGTAGTACTAGTATTTTGTGAAAACTCGATGCCAAAAATGTTTACTAACAAACTAAAACCACAGTTCAGCAACCCAGCYCTTGCAGGCCATCTTCAGCTCATCAAGACTTTCTCTGCCTGGTCGGTACCGATGAAGTGCAATGTTAATTTTAAACTCATTTGGAACTATGGTATCTAACTCTAAACAGTTTGCCAAAATAACTCACTATGTAATACTAAATGTTGTAGAACAACTCAAACTATTCTAGGGCTTGGTATTTTTTTTAAAGACAAATTCAAAAGTCCATGGGGGAAAAACAGGCTAAAAAGGAATAAATGTACTACAGTTTTCTCTTCTATAACATGAGGGCAATGAAGAAAAGAGTATTTCAGTATTTCACAAACAAAAACCCTTAATCAGAAAATATATGGATTTTTTTTAAACGGGCTGTATCAAAGAACAGAGAATGGGCATTTGTAATGCAAATATGTTAACTCTATAATTAACTTATATACCTAAATTGAAAATATTCACTATAGTAGTACTAGTATTTTGTGAAAACTCTATGCCAAAAATGTTTACTAACAAACAAAAACCACAGTTCAGCAACCCAGCACTTACAGGCCATCTTCAGCTCATCAAGACTTTCTCTGCCGGGTTGGTACCGATGAAGTGCAATGGTAATTTTAAACTTATTTGGAACCATGGCACCTAACTCTAAACAGTTTGCCAAAATAATTCACTACGTAATATTAAATATTGCAGAACTAACCCTGTACAACTCAAACTATTCTAGGCTTGGTATTCTTTTAAAAGACAAATTCAAAAGTCCACTGGGGAAAAACAGGCTAAAAAGGAATAAATGCACTACAGTTTTCTCTTCTATCACATCAAGGCAATGAAGGAAAAAGTATTTGAGTATTTGAGCAAGGAGTACCAACGGGAAAAAAAATAGCAAACATGAAAGAAGGCACTAAGTGTTCTTCATTAGATGAGAACTTTGGATCTTGTACTTCTACCTTTGGTTTTATTGTTTTCTTCAGTTGAATATGATGCATTTGTTTTATGAGTTTTCTTGTGGCATTCCAACAAAGTCTTTTTTGCAAATGCTTTCCCACATATACCGCATGTGTGCAGAGAAAAGTTTTTTGTGACTTTTACTTCAATGCCAACATCAGCTCCTTCATACTTTTTCCTTGGTGAGTTAGAGGCAATGTTCTGTTTAAGACCATTTTGTTTATTTTCATCCCTATGAGGGCCTCTTTTTACTACCTTGTTTAGAACATAGTCAACAGACTTTTTTACGGCTCGGACTTCTAAATTTGCAGTTATTTTACCGAGGTAATTTGGAGACTTCTTATGCACTACAGTTATGTGTCTTATCACATCACGCTTCCGGCGTGTTTCGTAAGTGCACAGAGGACACCTATAGAATTTAACATATATGTTATTTCCATCTGTGTGCAATTCAATGTGTTTTGCTAAGTTTTGCTTAGAAGAAAATTGGCGCTTACACAGTTTACAGTAAAGTTTTTTGAAATCAAAACCAGGTGTAAGTCTTGGTTTCCTGGGTTTCCTAGGAGAGCCTACAAGATTCTGACCATTTTGCTTGGCATTTTCAGACTTCTGATTAACTTTATTTCTCTTTGTGGGGGTTGCCCTTTTTTTCTTTGCACACACTGCACTTTTTTTCTCTGCGGATGCTGTGCTTTTTTTCCTGGCAGATGCTGCACATTTTTTCTCAGCAGATGCTGCACATTTTTTCTTGGTAGATGCCACACTTTTTTTCTTGGCAGATGCCACACTTTTCTCAGCAGACGTTGCCCTTTTTTTCTCGGCAGATGCTGTACGTTTCCTCTCAGCAGAAGCTGCACATTTTTTCTTGGCAGATGATACATTTTTTCTCTCAACAGATGGGGTTCTTTTTCTCTTTGCAGATGTTATGCTCTTTCTCGCTGCAGATGATGCATTCTTTCTCTCAGCAGATACTGTTCTGCTTTTCTCTGCAGATGGTGCATTTTTTCTCCCTGCAGATGGTGTATTTTTCCTCGCTACAGATGATGCATTTCTTCTCCCTGCAGATAATGCATTCCTTCTGCCTGCAGATACCGAATTCTTTCTCCCTGCAGATGATGCATTCTTTCTCTCAGCAGATGGTGCACTTATTTTCTCTGCAGATAATGCATTTTGTCTCTTTACAGATGACACATTCTTTCTCTCAGCAGAGGGTGCACTTATTTTCTTTGCAGATGATGCATTTTTTCTCCCTACAGATGACACATTCTTTCTCTCAGCAGAGGGTGCACTTATTTTCTCTGCAGATGATGCATTCTTTCTCTCAGCAGATGATGAATTTTTTCTCTCAACTAAAGGTGCACTTTTTCTCTTGGCAGACAGCACACTTTTTCTCTTAGTGGATGGCGAACCTTTTTTCGCAGATGGTGCAACTTTTCTCTTAGCTGGTGGTGCACATTTTCTCTCAGCAGATGATTCACTTTTTCTCTTAGCAGGTAGTACATTCTTTTTCTCTACAGATGGTGCACTTCTTCTCTCTGAAGATGACACACTTTTTCTCTTAGCAAATGCTGCCCTTTTTTTCTTTGCAGGTAGTACCTTTTTTTTCTCTGTAGACGGTGAACTTTTTCTTTCAGAGCATGATTCATTTTTTCTCTCTACTGATGCATTTCTTTCTGTGGATTGTGCACTTTTTCCCTCAGCTAATGTGGAAGACTTTTTCACAACTGGTGTTGTGCTTTTTTTCTCAGAAGATGGTACATTTTTCTTTTCAGCAGACAATGTGTTCTTCCTCTCAATTGATGATGTGTTCCTCTTCTCAGTGCCCTCTTCATTCTTTCTTTCAGTTAATTGATTTGTTACTCTGACATCATTCTGTGGAGAAATAATTAAAGGTACTGATTCTGCAGACGCTGTTGAATCCGTTTTAAATTTTGCTTCTGTGCTACGAGAATTATTTATCTTTTTTTCTTTTTTAGTATTTTTGGTAGAATTAATTATCTTGTGAACAATCAACATGTGCTTTTTAAGCATTACTTGGGAAGTGTATTTTCTCTTGCACAACAGGCACTTGCACGTAGTTAAGTTGTACTCCATCTTTAATGACGACTTTTGTTTTCGGATCTTAAGAGATTTTTTAGCAGAAGATTTTTCCAAGGACAAAGGCTGCCCCGGTCTTGTAGCTATTTCTGGTGTTATGGTATCTCTTCTCAACCCCCTGTGCACTTCATCAAAATGCCTTCTTACATTGGCTTTTGTAGCAAAGGATTTAAAACATACTGTACAACTTTTACCCAGGGTTACAAGAATATTTTTATTGCGCCCTCTTCCAAATGACTGATTTGATCTTTTTTTAATTTCAATGAATTTCTTTAGCTCATCCATCTTTTTTTTGTGCACTTTTCTAATATGTCGGCGTATACTGCGTCTGGAATGAAATTCCTTTTTACACAGACTGCAAATTAATTGATGGCCAGAATCAGAGTTATTCTTGCATTTCAACACAAGCTTTGATGGTGGCACTGAAGATTCTGGAGCCAATATTGCCTTGTTAGCAGTAGAAAGTAGAGGAGGAAGAGGAGAAATATCTGTATCTGAAGGACCTGGAATTGAATTTGAAGGTTCTGTGGAAGGCTCTGACATTTCTAAAGAAGATTGAGCAAGAGTGGCATTCCTCCCAGTGTTTTCAACTGCACTATCAGCCTTTGAAACATACTGATAGACAGCATTCTTATTTGTTTCTATAGGTTCCAGACGGATTATATAATCTTGGTTGTCTACCCTTGGATACATAGCTTCTAGAAGATCACTTATGGCTTGACCTTGTTGATCATTTACATCAGCAGAATCTGTAAAAATGAACACAGTTGAAATTACGGTTTTAGAATTTAAACATCTGATATGCTAATCAGAGGACCAGAATCATACTAATGAACATTCAGTCTCTTCTTCCTTGCAGTAAATCCCATCAATTAACCTGTAATAATCAAAAGGAGAATACTTCAAGAGTATAATGGGGCCTTATAGGACCATTATAGTGAAAAGGCTGTAGATTTTTCTTAATTCATCCACATTTGTTCATATTTGTTTACCTCTTTCTATTTTCTTTTCCGTATGTTTATTTCTTTTCATTTTTCAAGCTCCTGGGGGGTAGGGGGCATTTTTTTAAATATCATATATATTCTGTCATGACAATACAGTTTTCCATATCCACTGATTGAATATCCATTGATTCCACCATCCAGGTCTTGAAAGTATTTCCACAATATATATATATATATATATATATATATATATATATATTTAAAATTTAATGTTGCCATTTTATGTAAGAGGCACTATTTTACTACACCTTTGTACATAACAGGAACTAGAGCATCCATATATTTTAGTATCCACAGGGAGTTCTGGAACCAAACCCCAGTGGATGCCAAGGACCCACTCTAACATGTGCCATGTTACATTCATAAATCACAATTAAAATGTAAGTATGTATGAGTTTATTAATCCACAAATCACAAATACGGAAGAAACTAATAATTCACCCTGTAAAATGAATAACATTTAAATATAAGGTAAAAGAAAATTCATTTATAAGTATTGAGAAACTTTTCAAAATGCATTTTTTTAAATCCCTCATCTCAAAAAGCTAACAAATTTGCCGATTTAGATGAAAATAAAATTTTGAGATAACAAAACTTACTGTCATCCATCCAAAGACTTGGAGAACAATAGAATTTTTTATGGGTTATTAAATTTGGTAATCCTCTAAAGAGACTGCGACACGATTTACATTCAAATATAGTGTCCACATCTTTCAGCAAAATATGCTTAAGTTGTTTGGTTCCTGAAAAACACACACAAAAAGTAGTTTGGACATTTTGGACACCTCTGGTGAAAGTAAACATTTTTAATTCTAACTGCTGTAAACAGGCAAATTAAAATGCAGCTACATCCAGAATTGCAAGCCTTCATGCTGATTATGAAAGTTCCCAAAACACATTACTTCCAGCATATCAAAATACAACTGCAACACCTTTCATCTCATAAATCTCCAAAGTGCTTTCAGTCACTTTGGAGATATATGATTGCCATTCTCCGGGTCCAAGGAACCCACAGGGACCACCATCACCTTTCTCTCTTCTTAAGTGCCCACAATGGCAAGGAGGTTTCACAAAGCTCTGAGGCCACCTGGCAGCAGCAATACGGGCCGTTTTCCCTACTGATGGCACCTTTCTGCAGGACTCCTAAGAAAGGCAGGCTTTGGGCTTTGATGTGACAGGAATCTATTCAAAAACAAGTCTAAAAAGGTAGCATCGAAGTCCAACCTCAATGCATGAACAATTTATGCAGCATATGTGATTCTCTGCCCTTGATTCTTGGCTCATTTGGTGGCAGGTGTCTCCAAAGACCGGTGAATGACACTGAACTAATGTTATGGGGTATGAGGGTTTAGCCTGTTTCTCTACCTGGAAGTGTGACTGACTTGGGAGAGGTGTGCTTATCAGCTGCAGAGGTAGCAATGTTGACTTTCCAGACTGGGCCACAGCAACGCATGCCAGGGGACGGCTAGTAATATATTGTATTTACATATTACTTGTAAGTTCACTCTGAGTACCTTTCGGAGTTAGAAGGACGGCATATAAATGTTGTAAATAAATAAATAAATACTGCAAACCAAAATTCACACTATAAAAATTCCCAGTGTCACAGAGAAGAAATCCCAAATTCCTGAATGCAGAACAAATTTAGAAATACTTATTCACAGAAAACATAACAAACGTAACAAATTCAATACAGCAACAGTCACTAGTCTACTCGACTTTCCAAATAATATAAGCTAATTAAGATGAGAATAATATATCAAATCAATGTATTATATGTAATTCTTTTTAAGCATTTATACCACAATTAGTGTACAAACTTCAAAAGCGATTGACAACATTTAAAATGACAGCATCAAACATTTTAAAATACAAGGCACAATTACTACAACAGGAAAAACCTATGTCTCAAATTAATCGTCCTAAATAGAATTTTCAGATACAGATGCAGTATACCATCAAATATTGAGTACATGAACTGATTGCCTACAGCTGTTGAAGGAATGACACAGTAGGTGGATCTACACTTGGTCTAGTGTGGTCATGTTTATTTTCATAAAATAAAATAGTTATTTTAAGTCGTAGGAACTCAACATGGGAATAAGAATATATTAAAAAATAAAATCAGGTAAACATATAAACAAGACAGTTACTCATACCTGATCGGAAACATTCAATAATTTGTTGAATGCCAGATTTTGAAGTCTGAAGAGGCTGTTGTAATAGAGGAGGATCTCCAGGCTCCAGAGTTTGTACTACAAAATATTTAGAATAAGTGGTAAAAGACAAGATACAACACATCCCCTGTGGACCTAAACCAAATTGATGCCGGTGGTCAGCCATCAATAGATCTTTCTTCCCTTCCCTTCCCCTCTGCTGCTCTCCATGGTACATGAAATCTGGCAGCTAAGAGTTTCCCAGCCCTCAAGAACAGGTTTGAACAGCTGCAAGAAATTGGAATTGTTCCTCTTGGAGATCTGATGAAGACTGGGGATTACATTTAGATAGCATACATTTTTATTAAAGTGCAATTAAAATGTTGAAATATATTGTTGAATCTATGGTCTGGAAGCTAATAACAACCAAGTCATTTTTGGTGTCCCACCTCCAGTACAATTATAGTGTGAATCTACCAAATCTTTAAGACATGTGCACACTGTTCTTCCACAAAGTACTATTGATAATTTGTCATTGGAAATGTAAGTTACATGCATCAAGTCCTTGAAAAAAAGATAATTTCTTAGGATAATAACAGGAACTTTATACACTTTTCTTGTCAAATTTCATTCTAGCTATTTATACTTTTGAATTGCCTTAGTTGGAACTGGAGAAGTTGGAACAGAAGACTCAAATTACCAATATATTTTTCAAGTAATGCCAACAACTCCAAAACAATTAATAAGCAAATATTGTGAGAAAACATTTATTTCAATCACATGTTATTAATTTGGAAATATTTTCAATATGGTTATCACTTGATTGAAGAAACAAGTTGTGTGTTTTGACTGAGGAATCAACTGATTGATTAAATCTGCATAAAGTTATTTTAGAGGGTGTTTGTAATTTTATTTTAATCTCTTTTAAAAAAGAGTTTGATTGGGGTTTATCTATGTTATACAGCTGGACGACCCTCCAGGGATGAAAGGAAATACAAACACATTTAAGGAAATGCTCTATGTTATTGCATAATAGTCACCATTGTGTGATTGTTGCACCCCCATTTTGGGAAAGGCAAAAACAGAGTTCTGCTATTCTCTGTGGAATAGTCGCACCCTAAGTTCGGTTGGCCAGGCAAGTGAACTAAGTGTGCAACTGCTGTTTGGCACTGTGGGTCTTGACTTGGCTGGGAGCTGAATCAAGCCTCACAGTACCAAAAGGGAAAGAGGGCAGAGGACACACCTACTCCTTTTCCTCAAAATATGAAGGGGGGGGGGGGAGAAGTGTGACTATTATGCGATGAAATATGATAATACTTCACAGACACTAGAAACTTAATCTCTCTCAAGCATTATTATGTGACAGTTATACTATCATTTTAGAATACTAACTCCTTAGCATCTGAAGGTAAACCAGTGTCATGTAGTCATTTCAGTGCTGGAGTAGGATTTTTGAGACCAGGTTTGAAATTCCAACTCAGACATGTCATTGGGAAAGCTATGCTTTCTCAGATTCAGAGGAAGACAGTGGCACACCTTTTTGAACAAATGTGGCCGAGAAAAGCCTCACCACGTAAGATCACCATACATCAGAAATTACTTGAAGGCACACAAGAAGAAGTATCTGTAGATATCCTAATTCCATTAGTACTGCATGATTTTATCCTAATGACTTCTTATTGAACCCAAAAATTAAAGAAGAAATGTCAATGCTAATACCTGGTTCACAGCATCCATGGTGATGGTGATCAGTCTGACAGTATTTGTGATTTAGAGGCATCTTCCCCTTCAATGACCTCTTCTTCTTCTTCCGCATTCAGTTTCTTGTCTCTGAAAAAATAAGCAATTTCTTAGCCATTTACTAGATAATATAAGGTTTTGTAACTCTACATAACACACTTACCAAATAACTGATTTGATAAAGTACATTGAGAACATACAGAAAACTAATACACACGTGCAAGATAAAAGTCTGCTAAAATGTTTTAAATTTTTAAAAAAGAGATGTTGTAACTAGAGTGGACAAGATATCAATGGTTAGCTGGCTTATAAATAAAATGAAAACTTCCAAACAAGGAGAATATCCCACATCATTCTGAGTCAATTCAAATCCGCCTTGTCTCCCACTTCTACCTAACCAGTCAGCCCTTTCTCTCCCTATTTCTAAACCCTGCATAAATGGCTAGTTCAGATTTTGACAGTATTACAATCACAGCAGCTACAGAACAATAGAGAAGAATCTTCAGAGCCAAAACATAACATAATCTAGTTTATTTAAGAGTACAATTACCACAGTATATACTAATGTACAAATCAATCTCAAGTATAAATCAAGGGCAGGTTTTTGGGTCAAAATTATGGAGTTTGATATGACCTATGGAGGAGTTGAGGGTCATTCCACAGAGAGGGGAAAGCACCAATGTTATTACAAAAGATCAGCTACCCCTGGCCACTGACACCTTTTCCCCACCCAGACATTCAGAACAGCCAGAGGCAGTACCACATCAGAGAGAATAAAGGGAGCCGACGTTTCTTTTAGATTCTTCCAGGGCAAACTTTCTTGCCTTTTGCCATTCTACTCAGAGAACGGGATGGTACATTTTTTGATAAGCGTTAATGTACAGTATTTGTTTCATGTTTTCAACACAGATTCTTTGAATTGATTTTTGACTAACATTTCTAGACTTATACATGAATAAATAAGGTACTTCCCAAGATCATCAGGAAGCTGCCACCTGTCTCTCTCCAAAGTGACTTGATAACACTAGCCTTTGCCAGGTAGGTACTGAAAGGATTGTAAGTTGGGAAAATCAGAATAGGCCCCGACAGGAGTTATGTTGAATGAATTTCAATCCATATAAAGAAAAAATCCAGAGCTTTAACGCAGGCAGTCCCTGAGTTTCAAGCATCTGACTTAGAAACAACTCATAGTTAAGAACAGTGGTGAGGCAACAGGAAGTGAGAGAAATCTACCCCTAGGAAGGGAAAATTGTTCCTGAAAGATTTATCATTGGGAAAAAGGTGTCTCAACTGAAGCTTTATCACCAATTCTTATTTACACAATAAACCATTTTTTTTCAAAATCCAACTCTCACAGGAACAGAAAGTGCAGTGAAATCTTCTGAATCTTTGAACAGACAGCAAAACAAAACCAAAGGAGTATCAACCCTTCACTATGCTATTCAAATTCAACTTAAGAACAAACTTACAGAACCTATCTTGCTTGTAACTTGGGGATGGCCTGTACTACTTTTTTCTACAGCAGATATTTTTAAGCACCAAAAACACATGTCTAACATCCAAAAGTAAGTTTCTCAATCAGCTCATAAGTTTCTAAATCAGCCTGTAACACTTTATACTGTGAACTAACACTGACACAACAGGTATTGTTACATTTGACTAAAAGGAGCTACAGAAGGATATATGAATTCTTTTAAATCCTTCTGACTAAATCTATTGGTAAGAATATGCAAAGGTGTGTGATGTCTCAGTACATATAAATGTTCATCCAACTGAATTAGAAGTGGGAGAACATAAGACTTCTGAATTAAACTATGTTTGATTTAACAATTCCACATAAAACAACCTACTGCCTGATTCCTCTAAGTTTTCAACAGTTTGATTTATATTTTATCCAGCTTGATCTTCTTTCAAAATGCACTTAACAGGTACAGCAACAGTGTTGCATCACTGAATTCCCAAATGTTATTCTCTAAAATATTTTTCAAGCAGAATATAAGATGCTGAATATCTGTGGTTTTGCCAGGGAAAGTCAAAACACAATTTTGAATAATTTCAACTAGTAAAATATCTCTTAAACTAATGCAAAATAAACATGGTAGCACAGTTATCTCAAAAAAGCTGAACCATGAGAATCTAACAAATATATTGAGAGAATATGTTATTTTCTATTTATAAAGAATGCAGAAAAAAAATATTTGACTTCTGAGGTTAAACACCATATATAAATCAACCTCATTTGTAAGTCGAGGATAGATTTTGGGACCAAAATTATCGATTTTGATATGACTGTAAATTGAGTTCACTATTGTGATTTTCCCACTCAGGCATTAAAAAACAAAACAAAACAGAAGTAATGCTCTGGCAAAGAGAGTAAAGGGATTTGGTGTGTCTTTCAGGTTCTCCCAGGATGAACTAAGCTCTTTCCTTTTACTACTCTACTCAGAGAAGGGGGTGGCTCCTTCTTTGATAAGCATTATTTTAAGTACTTAAAATGACACATGACAATGACATGTGTTTTGTGATTGAAAGTGAAAATGAGGAACATTATGCATAATATAACTGCAAGCTGATATTGCACTACTAGTTTAGTAAGCAGGGAAGTATGTATGCTTGTTGGAAATAAGTATTTCAAAGAGGAACCTACTTAATTCATAATTTTCAAAGTGATCCAAACAACACTGTTGTAATATAAATTACTTTGAAACCATCCCTAGTATTTGTCAGGCAACCAACATACACCTTATAATGCTGTTTATGCCTAATCATACAACATGACAGAGTACTATAATATTGTTATTATTAACTACTCTTTACTACTTCCCAGCTTTGCAAGTACCAGTTCAGCTGTGATACAGAAACAATATATTCAACCCTCTGTCCAATATTCATGGTGCTTTGTATTGGAAAATGAGTCCACAAGCAAAAGCAACTCTTCCATCTGATGTGCTTCTATGAAAATCGTTACCTTCAAAATTTAGTGCCAAGAATTTAATCTTTTTCATAGCTCCGACATAACCGAGTGAAGACAAAACAATGCATGCACTCCAAAGGAAGTCTAAGCTAGTAATTATTAATATTTCATAACTGTTATATATCTTGGCTTTTTCCACAAACCAACACTCAAGGCTACTAGCTAACATGCCACCACTTTCACTATTACAAGGAAACAACTGCAGAATCCAAATCTATATTCTGAAAGGTGTCCATAAAGAATCAGTTTTCAATCTAATATTCCCATAGAGCAGCAAAGAGTCTAGATATCCCGAAGGCACTAGATCCCACATGAATTTGGAAGCTAAACAGGTCTGGTTAGTACTTGAATGGGAGACTGCAAAGGAATACTAGATGATGAAAGCTATATCTCGGGGCTCTTCCACACAGCCCTATATCCCAGAATACAAGGGAGGAAATCCCACAATGTCTGCTTTGAACTGGTTTATCTGAGTCCACACACATAATGTGGGATTTCCTGCCTTGATATTCTGGGATATAGGGCTGTGTAAAATGGCCCTCAGAGGAAGGCACTCTCTAATGAGTCCTTGTCTTTCAAAAAAAAAAAACCCATAAAATCCACAGGGTCACCATAGGTGTATCTGTGTCTTGAATGCACGTACACAGAAACATACAGCAACAGACTCTGAAGCCTATAACAGAACAAGGAATTGACAGGTCAATTAGGATCTAATGCAAATCTGTGTTTCTTGCAATTGATCAGCAAAGATTTGTCAGTCCAAATTATTTAGAACAATGAAGAATAGAATCACTTCCTACAGCTACATAAATTGGTCTGGGGAAGAGGGCAGAAACCTAGGATATCAAGAATAAACTTTTGTGTGAAAAAATGCAGAGCTCAATTCAGTTCTTGTACTGAAAAATGAAGTCCTGGGGCTAGAATGCATCATCCTGCTCTTTAACTCTTGCACATGGCTTTTTGTGAAGTCTGAAGGCTCTGGTTAAAAAAGAGTCACCCCACATTTGACAGAGAAAGACTGATGATCAAAAGGCCTCAATCATAATTACCTTTTTAAAATTGGCCTCTAAAGAACCATAGTTGCTGATCCAGGGAAAACACCAGGGAGTGATAATCTGTGGTACTGAGAAACTGCAATTGCCAACACCCCTCTCTATAGGCTTAGAGAGAGGGGTGGTGGCAATTGCAGTTCCTCAGTACCTTTCAGGCTCAAGAAGGAAACCACCACTCTTTGAGGCAGCCCTTCCCACTGTTGAACAGTTCTTGCAATCAGGAGGATTTTCCTAACGTCTAGGTAATATATCATTTCCTGTAATATGAATCAGTTGCTCTGTGTCCTAGGCCCCATCTACACTATCAATTTAATGTCACTTCAAGCTATCTCTAAAATGTGGCAGCTAGACTATGCAAATCTTTTGTGATGTTTCTGTGTATGTGCATTCAAGTCACAGATACACCTATGTGTCTGTTCACTGTGAAGCCCACTAATCTGACACAAGCAAAGGCAGAAATCAGAAATGAAGTTGTTAATGTGCATCAGCATGCTGTAATATAAACCATATCACACAACAAAATTGGCTCTGCAGAATGCAAAACGCTGTAAGGACACTTATGAGAACTCCACTATGCTCAAATTCATGTTCTGGAAAGCAGAGTTGAGGGAGAAAACCATGTGTTCCCTGCAGCTGTCAAACCACAGATACTGTGGATCCTGGAACTGGTTCGAGTTCAGCTTCTGCCAGGTGTGTAATCACTACCCAGGCCTCAAATTGGTTCCAGGGTTTAGATTCTAATTACCCTCACAGTGGTACCATATTCTTCAATATCAGTTTCCAACTGACCTAAATGGTTAGTGTAAATGGGCCCCTAGGACTCTTCCACACAGCAATATAACCCAGAATATCAAAGCAGACTACCCACCATATCGGCTTTGTACTGGGTAATCTGAGTTCATACTGCCATATAATCCAGTTCAATGTGGATTTTACACAGCTGTGTTGAAAAGGCCCTAGTCAGAAAACAAGCAATGTTGCCCTAACACTGAAAGTCTCACAGGCCACATAAAATGATGTGGTGGGCAGGATTTGACCCACATCCCTTACATTTGTCATTTCTGAACTAGACACTACACTATTGGTGCAGGTTCAAACTGCATTCACTTTGTAAGCTGTTCAGAAGTGGAACTCTCTGAACCAGAGTGTGGTGGAGGCTCCTTCTTTGGAGGTTTTAAGCAGAGGCTGGATGACCATCTGTCAGGAGTGCTTTGAATGTGATTTTCCTGCTTCTTGACAGGGATTGGACTGGATGGCCCACAAGGTCTCTTCTATGGCTCAAGTTCATCTTGTGGTTTCCAAGGGATGCACCCCTAGTGTAGACCTAATACAGTTTGACACCAGTTTAAGTGCTATGGAATCAAGGGAGTGGTCGTTTTACAACAGTGGTCCTCAACCTGGGGTCCCCAGATGTTTTTGGCCTTCAACTCTCAGAAATCCTAACAGCTGGTAAACTGGATGGGACTTCTGGGAGTTGTGGGCCAAAAACATCTGGGGACCCCAGGTTAAGAACGATTGTTTTAAAACAGTGGTTCTCAACCTGGGGTCCCCAGATGTTTTTGGTCTTCGYCTCTCAGAAATCCTAACAGCTATTAGACTGGCTGGGATTTCTGGGAGTTGTAGGCCAAAAACATCTGGAGACCCCAGGTTGAGAACGATTGTTTTAAAACAGTGGTTCTCAACCTGGGGCCCCCAAATGGTTTTGGCCTTCAGCTCCCAGAAGTCCTAACAGCTGGTAAACTGGATGGGACTTCTGGGAGTTGTAGGCCAAAAACATCTGGAGACCCCAGGTTGAGAACCACTGTTTTACAAGGTCTTGAGCTTTTTCTGCCAAAGAGTGTTGATGCTTTGTGAAACTACAGCTCACACGAGCCACTGCACATAAAGCAGTGTCAAACTGCATTGATTCAACAGTAGAGATGCATCCTAAGGCCCCTTCCACACAGTTGTACAAAATCTACATTGAACTGGATTATATGGCAGCATGAGCCGTTCCACTCAGCCCTATATCCCAGAATATCAAGGCAAAAAATCCTACAATATCTGCTTTGAACTGGGTTATCTGAGTTCAGACTCAGACAATGTGGGATTTCCTGCCTTGATATTCTTGATATGCCTTCAATCACATCCCTAAATGCTTCCCACAGAAGGGATGTCAGCAGCGAGAAAAAGAGCCTCCCTCCAACGCCTCCCCACAGAATGAGTAACTCTTCTCCTCCCTCCCGCCTTGTCCTCCCTCAGCGAGTGAAGAAAGCCCCCTTTTTGCAAACACCTGTCCTGGAAGTAAGGCACCCTCTCCCTCTCTGCCTGCCTCTCCCCTCACACGTCCAGACTCATGAGTTCTAAGGCTGCCGCTCTGGGGCGACAGAGGGAGGCTGGCTTGTCTGAGGAAAGTTCTTTCAGCGGGAAGACTGCGCGGAAGAGAAGGCATGGGTTACACCCTGAGGTGGGCGCCCGACTGACTGGAGCGCGGGAGAGCAAGAGGAGGAGGAGACGCCGGGCTCCTTCTTTCCTTCCTTCTCTCAGGTGACAAGGAGCGCCTTACCTCCTCCGGGGAAGGGGCGGGAGGGAGGAGGGGAGGAGGGAGGACCTCTCCGCCTCGTCCCGACCCAAACTCGACGCGACCCCGGAGCCGGATGGTGCGCGAGGGCAGGAAGTGACTTGCGGCCGCGGCAGGGCCTGGCCTGGGGCAGCGCAACACGCATGCGCCGCACCCGGCTTCTCCTCCCCCCGCCCCCTCCCTCTCACACACGCACTGCCTTCTCTCTCTCAAGTCTCGCCGCCTCAAAACTTTTTTTTTGGTCCTCCCTCCTCCTCCTTGGCCCCGCCCCCTTTTCTCCCTCTGGGGCGCGCGCTCTCCTCCCTCTTGGGCCTTCCTTTTTTGCAGCCAATCCGTACAGGTGCCTCGCCCCGCCTCCTCGCGCTCTTCTGCTCTGGGAAAACTTGGGAGGGGGAGAAAGTTTGGGAGAAGGAGGAGGGGAGAGAGGGGCGCGCTCTCGTCCTGCCACGTGCGCCTCCGCCAATCAGGAGCAGCTCCCACCCCGCGCTGGGTTCCCCCCTCCAAAAAAATCAAAACAAAAGTAAGCCTTCGCGCCGCGTTTCTTCTCCTCACCGGACTCTTGAGGAGAAGTTGGGCGCTCCTCGGGAAGGAGAGTCGAGAGAGACGACTGACTGCGGGAAACTCAACCGGAGTTCAGCTTCTACCGACGGAATGAGTGGAGAAGGAGATTTCGCGTGTTGTTGTCGCGGGACTCGCTTTCTCCACGCCGCCTTTCGTACCCTCACAGCAAAGGCGAGAGGACGACGGAAAGATAGGACCGCTCTGGAAGAAGCAGCGCTACCGTTTAACGCTCGGCTCCGCCGGAGAGAATCGCCTCCCCCGCAGAAAGAACCCTGACCGTTGGGCCCGTTGTGCCGTTGGCAGAGAATCCCACTGCAGGTGCTTCCACAGAGAGAGAGAGAGCCTGCCCGGCCTCTTCGGTTTCGTTTCCTTTTCCTTCGCTGTAGAGAAGCATCACCCAATGTTGCTAAGGCTGGATCTACCCTGCGCTCTATCCCAGGATGATCACCTGCTTTGAACTGGATTATATGAGTCCATACTGCCATATAATCTGAGGAATAGATCCTGGCATAAAAAGCAGTGTAGATCCAACCTAAAACTAGTTAGATAAGCAGATACTGTGTTTCTTCGATTCTAAGACCCCACTGACACTGCTAAAGTCCCAGTTATTTGATTTACTTGCTGTATTTTTACCCCACTCTTGCCTCAACTCGGAGCGTCCTCCAAATTGGCAATAATTCAATGCCACATTAACCAAAGACAAACAATATAATATACATGGTGGGTTCAATCATGAAAATAATAAAACACTAACATATAAATAAATAAACTCTTAAAACATTACACACAGGCCAAAAAACACAATCCAATCCAGTCAGCCTTTATTGGCATAGGTAAAGGTTTTCCCCTGACAAAAAAAATGTACCCACCTGCTTGAAAAACATACCCAAGTAAAGGTAAAGATAAAAGTTTCCCCTGACATTAAGTCCAGTCATGTCCGACTCTAGGGGATGGTGCTCATCTCCATTTCTAAGCCCGCCATTATCCGTAGACACCTCCAAAGTCATGTGGCCTCCATGACTGCATGGAGCACTGTTACCTTCCCACCCGAGCGGTACCAATTGATCTCACCATTTGCATTTTTTCGAACTGCTAAGTTGGCAGAAGCTGGGGCTGACTGCAGAAACTCACACCACTCCCCGGATTCGAACCTGTGACCTTTTGGTCAACAGGCTTAGCAGCTCAGTGGTTTAACCCACTGTGCCACTGGGGGCTCCTTTTTATTGGCATATACATAGCAAAAAAGAGTATTTAATACAGTACAAGCCATAGAAAAGGGAACTTCACATTTGCTGCACATTCAGTTTACAGACTTGGTTCAGGAATCTTGCCACTGAAAGGCAGCAGTTAAAATCTTGACAGTTTAAAAACATAATTACTTTGACTGGGTCACTATGGTTTTTCAAGGAATCTATAACGTGTGGTAGTAAGCTAGATCTTAGTTCCTGGTAAAGTGGGCAGTACAGAAAAATATGTGGGATGGAATCCAGCTGTCCTGTGCTATAGGGACAAAGCCTCTTATTGCTCGGTAGACCATTGAGTCTTCCTCTATGGAGCAGAGATGGCATAATATTAAATCTAGTCAGCATATAGGCTCTCCTGTATGAGGGGTTAGTAAGCACTGCAATATAAAAGTCTGGGTTACCCTGTGTGAATGGAATTGCCATGTTCATAGTCAAGCAGGGTTTATTGGCCAAGCTCAACAGTTGGTTATAATCCCTTTCTAGCAGCCTCTTTTTAATAAGGGTAAAGATCTCAGTGAAAGTTAGCAAGTTAGCAAGAAATTGCTATCATAGCCTAGTTCCCCAATCTTTGCTAAGACTGTTTCACACCATTTTGAGTGGTGCAGTTCGCTCAAGGTGAGTTGGGTCAGAGAGTTGCTAGGGCTTTGGTAGTGAATATATAGCCAAAATGTAATGATGTTTAGCCAGATGGTGACCTCTATATAGTATTGGCTAGATTCTAGACATAGAACTGCATATGGGACGCAGTTTGGGACACCAAATAATTCGTGGAGGAATTTTGAGTGGAAAGATCTGATGACACTATTATTAGGGGAGTTAACCAAATGGGAGCCTCATAGAGTAGTTGCAACATTGCCTTTGCTTGAAAAACTTGCAGAGCTGGGGATATATTGATTGTCCCTGGAGTGGAAAAACCTCCTGATAGCACTGTCGCTTGATTGGGCCTGGGCCAGTGTATATTTTAAATGAATGGACCATGATACGTTGTTATTGAACCAAAGTCCTAGGTATCTGAAATGCAAAAAAGACAATCCACATTGCTGTTCACTTCATAGCTGCCTATAGCCCTGTGCTACTCTCCAAACTCTTGGTTCCATAGCCATGTTTTTACTTGTTTCCTGAAGGTCAGGAGGGAGGGGACTGATCTAATTTCACTGGGGAATAATAATAATAATAACAACTATTTTTATACCCTGCCTCAATCTCCCTGAAGGGACTCAGGGCGGCTTACAGAGGGACAAGCCCAACAAAACAGGTTAAAATAAGCATTGAAAACAAGCAATATCAAACATCAATAAGCATAAAATCAGACCACATTATAAAAATGATTAAAAGCTATCATGACTGAGCAAATAAAGTGCTGAGTTCCACTGCTTAGGGGCCACTACTGAGAAGGTCTTGTCCCTCACCCCGTCATCCGCACCTGCCAAGAAGGTGGAACCAAGAGCAGCCTCCCCCCGCCCCCAGATCTTAGTGCCTGGGATGGTTCATGGTGTGATACGGGTTCAGACAGTTAAATGGGCCAGGACCACTTAGGGCAGTGTTTCTCAATCTGGGAGTCAGGACCTCTGGGGGAGGGTCACAAGGGGAGTTTCAGAGGGGTCACCAAAGACCATCAGAAATATTTCTGATGGTCACAGGAACCCCTTTAGCAGAGAAGGCTGAAGATCTTCCGCCTATCCTCTTCCTTTTTGGAAACAGATAGTGAATCCTCCCACCAAAAGCCCTCCTCCTGCTGTGATTGGCTGGCCTCCTGCTGTGATTGGCTGTTTTTGAGACTCCAAGCAGGGAGGGTAGAGGAGGCATGCTCGGCGCATGGCAGCGTGGTGCGTGGGCGAGGGAGAGCATGCAAGGCTGGAGGGTGTGGGTGAACTACAACTAGAAAAATAATGGGTCAAACCTCCCAAACCCCACCAGTATACACAGTTGGCCATGTTTGTCTGTGTGCCAAGTTTGGTCCAGATCCGTTGTCAGCTGAGTTTAGTGATCCCACCAGTATTCACATTTTGGCATATCAGATATTTGTGCCAAATTTGGTCCAGCTCTATCGTTTTGGTTCACAGTGCGCTCTACATGTAGGTGAACTACAGCTCCCCTAAATCACTGTCAATTCCTCCCAAATCCCACCAATATTTTATGTTGGTCAAAGATGAAGTACTTTGACCACATCATGAGAAGACAGGAAAGCTTAGAGAAGACAATTATGCTGGGGAAAATGGAAGGAAAAGGAAGAGGGGCCGACCAAGGGCAAGATGGATGGATGGGATCCTTCAAGTGACTGGATTGACCTTGAAGGAGCTGGGGGTGGTGACGGCCGACAGGGAGCTCTGTCGTGGGCTGGTCCATGAGGTCACGAAGAGTCGGAAACGACTGAACAAATGAACAAACAAAAAACATGGGGGTTCTGTGTGGGAAGTTTGATCCAATTCTATCGTTGGTGGGTTTCAGAATACTCTTTGATTGTAGGTAAACTATATGAGTCTGCTATATAATCCAGTTCGAAGCACACAATTTGGATTTTATATAGCAGTGCAGATAGGGCCTAAAACATCATTGACTCTAAGGCCCCCTACACTACCATATAATGCAGTTTCATAATGCAGTTGAATTGCTTTATATAGCAGTGTAGACTCATTTAATGTAGTTCATGGCCCCATCTAAACAGCTGAATAAAATCCATTTTCTGCTTTGAACTGGAATATATCACAGCGTGGATTCAGATAACCCAGTTCAATGCAAATATTGTCGGATTTTCTGCCTTGATATTCTGGGCTATTTGGTTGTGTGGAAAGGCTCCAAAATACAGGTACATTACATTATTAAACTCTTATATGGCAGTGTAGATGGGGCTAAAGGGACACACTAATTTCAATACCATCAACTGAAAAAAAGCTTTTGTTCTTTATATATTAAAAACCATCTATGATTCTAAAATGCACCCCATTGTTAGAAGAAAACTGTTCCTTGGAATCTAAGAAATACAATAGATAGACACTCATATATTACATATATTATTCATGCACACACATATTATTCATATACAATACACTCTCAGTTAACCAGAACCCAATCTTCCAGAACTCTACTGCAAGTTGCAGTGCTTTCAATTAAAAAGCCGTTTTTATCATACAATTAAACAGTTAAACTGTTGCATTGAGTTTATCTTTCTTTGCCTTAATTTGCTTTTAACTACTTATTTAAGCATTAATATAAAAGCAAAACAAGGTTTACAGTATGATATAGATGGTAGTGGTAGCATGTTTTATTGATTAGCCCATTGGCCATATAAAAACATTTGACAAACACATTTAACACATACAGCGTACAACCCA